TCTGACGTGACATGTTCGTACGAACCCTTTGTACGAACAAAAGTAAGAGAAATTTAGGAGAAGAATACGAACATGTTCTTGCATGAGGCCCATTGTTTGAATGTTTGGTCTGCACCAGAACCATATTTTCTTTTTGTTCGTTTATCTTTAGTTTCAACTGGTCCCATCCACAACTGCAATGTTTTTTCACCTTGAACTGTTGCTCTTTTCATAACTTTTACATCAATTTTAAATAAATAAAACCTAGGATTGTTAGTTGGGAAAGTGACCAAAGTGACAGCATTGTATTGCTTTAATAACTTAATGAACCCAACCATTTCTTTAAAAAATCAAAGGTTGTAATAATTTCAACTCTGATCTAAAACCATGACTGTGTTGATAATTTTTCAAGCAATAAGTGCAGAAACGCTGCTTCCTAAATGATCTCTGTCCGTGTTTCTGTCTCTTGCTGCAGAAAAGCATGTCCACCTACGTGTCCGACTGCTACGACAGCATCGCTATCTTCCTCTGCATCCACATCATCCTCCGCTTCAGAGCCATCACTGCCAAGAGGAACATCCCGGCTCTTGACAAGTCATTGTCTCACTTATTATGTTGATGAAAATATATATATTTTAAATTCCCACAAATGAATATTTCATTAAATAAATGTGGATGACCTTTTAAATAATTCTGATATTTAAAAATGGATAAATTAAGTTTCTACATAAAGACTGATAACTAGATTGTTTCAAATCAGATGTTTCTGAACACAAAAGGTTTGTCTTTTAAACAAATTCAGTTTTAGAAGCTAAAGTCTAAACTCTTATYAAACCCTGCTTTCATGAAAAGAAGTCAAAACAATTTAAATGTCCAAAAATGTCTTTGGAAAAAACATGACCCAGTAAAGAGAAATCTCAGTTTTACAAATTTTATGTTAGAAAGGTGGTGAAATCCAACTGAACCAGTTCTTTTGAGAWGTTTTATTTCCGTCTGTGCTGCACCCAAGTGTTAGGATTGTAGTAAAAGTTCTGTGAAAATAAAAGCAGTAGTTCTGCTTTCGAAGTCACAGAAAAGGATGTTTTTAAGGTTATATTTGTGTGATGGTCAGATACTGGGAAGCCGTGTTGGAGCTGCTGTGGCCGAGGTTTGAACTCATCCTGGAGATGAACATCCAGAGCATCAGAAACACAGATCCTCAGAAACTGGGAGTCCTGGACACCAGACCACATTATGTACGTACCCCCAGCCCCTCCTCACATACGCACAGATGTGGTGAAGTGAAAATGTTTTGTTTATTTGATTGTAAATGCTCGTTTTTTTTAACGCGACAATAAATGCATCACATTGATTTCAGATCACCCGGCGTTACGCGGAGTTCTCCTCAGCCATCGTCAGCATCAACCAAACGTTTCCTAATGAGAGGACCAACGCTCTGCTGGGTCAGCTGCAGGTAACACACACATTTTCACAAAACATAAAATCTGCACATCACTCATTACTTTTTTTTAGGTAATATTTTCCTTTACAAAAGTGTGGTTGTCTTTTTTTCAGGCTGAGGTAGAAAACTTTGTGCTGAAAATGGCTGCAGAGTTTCCCTCCAGAAGAGACCAACTCATCTTCCTCATCAACAACTATGACATGATGCTCAGCGTTCTCATGGTGCGTTCTTTAGCTTATGTTCTGAAAGCTTTTTTGCTAATAAATGCGGGACAAATTTTGACTTTTATCTTGCCTATCTAATTCGCTGATTGTTCCTTTTCTGTCCAGGAGAGGGCAGCAGATGACAGCAAAGAAGTGGAAAGTTTTCAGCAGCTGCTACTRGCCAGAACACAGGTGAATATAGTTATAATAATCATTACCTCATCATATTTCATCAATATGTGTGACATTTTGTCACTAATTAACAATAAAAATGCATATGGAGTGTTTATTTTTCTTTTTAGATGCATAAAAT